CAATTGTGTGTAAAACATTTTCAATTCGCTTAAAAAGTTCTCTAGATCTAACGAAATACGCAAAAAGTAAAATTAACATCAAGGGGGTTCAAACTTTTGGAGCTCTCTCTTGTCCAAACTAATTGGACCATATTTTCCAAATTGCGGCTACCCTCTGTATTTTGGGGACGGGGAGCAGAAATCCGAATCCGTCAAAAAACTGTATGTCTGTTCAGAGAAGTACGTTTTTGTGTCTGATTTCGTAACTTAAAATATCGTCTTATTAATTAGCATATTTGAGGCCACCTCCTCTAGCCATTAAGATTAGGTTCTAGAACGTGAAAATCCAATCAATAGATCAAAAGCTATTCTGGGTGGTCCGTTTATTTTTTTGTGCAATGTACATTCGCATTTGAAGGTTTAGCATCCTTTATGAAAGAGACTTGCCGCTTTTGAGCATCAGACATAATTCTACTTAAACATCTGTATTCTCATTTTTTTTCATTGATGAACCCACGAAGAGTTATATTGATCAGATTCGGAAAAATAGTAGCATTTGCAACTTGTTTCGTAACTAGAAGAACGTTATAAGTAGTTGTCAGGAATCGCTACAATTTACTATTATTTTGAATGACATTACACACACTTTTTTTTTTAAAAAAATGTAAGCTACACTTTAAACTACGAAAAAATGTAGCTACTGCAGTTGTTTCGCTATTTTCTGACAAACTTATCAAACACCTCTTAGAGGAGAGAAGGCGTTTCGCTATTTTCTGACAAACTTATCAAACACCTCTTAGATGAGAGAAGGCCTCCACTGGGATCACTTTAGCAGTCCGACGTAACGAACATAAGTAGCTACTGCAGTTGTTTCGCTATTTTCTGACAAACTTATCAAACACCTTTTAAAGGAGAGAAGGCCTCCACTCGGATCACTTTAGTAGTCCGACGCAACGAACATAAACTTCACTGTGAGGGGAATAAGAAAAGTGCTCCAACGTTCGGACTACTGAAAAATCGGATGCCTAGTTTATGATAATTTATAAGAAGGCTTTCTCTTTTCTCGGAGGTATTGAACTTATCCGTATTAATAAGAATATAAACTTAACAGAAGCAGGCAAAGCTATAATTTTAAACTATATAAATCAACTTGCCGTGAAGAATTATCTGTGCTTTAGAATGAACAAATAACTTAAATATTTTAAAAGCTATAGAACTTTTTTTTAAAAAATTACCATTATTGACGAGATTTTTCTACCCACCTGAAAATTATCAAAATCAATGGATAATTCTTAATGTTTGCAAATTTTTATGGATAATGCAGTGCGGAAACAACTTTTTGAACATAAAAAAATAAGATCACGAACGCTTTTCATTTTCACTGTAGTATGCATTATATACATGTTTCATATATGTAGTTATTGTCAAAATCATTTTAAATTTATAAATTCAGGATATGAAAAAAACATTAATTTTGCTGCTACTTTAAATATACGGTTAAAAGTCTTAAGGAAAAATTAATAAAAGTTGGCAGTTCCACTATTATATTCTTTAGACTAATCTCGTTCCTGAAGACAGCTAATTATAGATTAAATTTTGTCGGCATCAAATTTGAGTTAATTATTTTATATCTTTCCCCCTCTTCCGTTTTCATTAAAAATGCTTTTTTTTTCCTTCCTAAATTGGGCTAACAATTTTTCATGAAAACTGTTTTGTCGCTTTATCTCTAGATTTAAACGAAGATATACTAATTTTTCTGGATCTCATGCCAACGTTTTGCCAGTGTTCTCCCTAAGCAATTTTTGAAGAGCGGCCCGCCCTGCTTGCCATTTAATCCCAATAAAAAATAAACGTCAATAAAAAAATAATCCCAATAAAAAAATAACTGTCATCCCTTAAAAACACTTCCTTTTTATTCATATTCTATTTTGAAAAAAAAATAATTCACTGTTTAAATAATAATTACCCACTGGTAACATTATCTGTGTTTATAGGTTTAATTCTGATTACTACCGCAAATATTTACTTTGTTAGGATTATTCGTAACTGGTTAAATTTTATAAGTATCTTTTTTCGGGGGGGGNGGGGGGGGGGGGTAAAACATTTTTTAAATAAATACCTTTTTTTATTTAAAAAAAAAAATACACCTTTCAATGTTCACTTTTTCATAATTTTCAGTTTAAATTATAGAAAAGAGTTTTCAAATTATTTATCAATTAATCGTGTTTTGATAGTTTACAGGTCTGTTTGTACCCCGTAAAAGTGAGAAAACTGGTTGTAAAACCATTTCATTTCTATCTTGTTTTCGGAAAAAATAAATGCCCGTGATTTTCAAGACTTATTAACTGTTATTATTCAACATAGGAAACAGTCTACATATCCTAGAAGAGAGAGGGCCTCTGCACGGATCACTTTAGTAGTCCGATGTAACAAACATAAACTGCGCAATAGAGGAAATAAGAAAGATGTGATACCGCCCAGACTACTAAACTGCGCAGTGGGGGGAAAAATAAGATAAATTCCCCATTAACTATTAAAGGATCGGATTTCTCGTTTATATTAACCTGTGAGAAGGCTTTCTTTCTTCTAGGAGGTGTTAAAACAGTCCCATATATGTACTTACTTATATTATGTACTCGCTTGCAACCAGGATTGTATAAAACACGGCCTTCTGAAAAGGACATGGCAACTGGTTTTAATTAAAAAACTGGTTTTATAACTAGCTGGTTTAATCGCTCCTTGATTTTATAACTCCTTGGTTGTAACTGACTTTATTTACAAAAAAAATATTGGCTTTTTAATATTTTACTATTCAAAATTAACCTTGCACGTATTTAAAATTTTTTTATTAATGTCTATTCAGTAAAATAATAAATTAAAATATGGTATTATTTTAATTTTCTCTTAAAGGCCTTTGGTCCATAAATAAATAAAATTTTATTATTTTTAATGATGTAATTATTGCTCCATATTTGCTTCAAAACCAAAAATTTTTGACTGAAATTGTTATCAATCCTATTCTAATTCATCCCAACTGTGCTATAAATTGATTCAGAATAATTATTTTTAAAAATTGTTCTAAATCTTCTATAAATTCAGTATTTTTCATAAAACTGTACATGATTTGTTCGAAATAATTAATATATTTTGTTTAAGAAGTTCTACAATTAGTAATTATAGTTAATTTTGTTTTATTTATATGCTTATGCTGCATTGAATAAGTTGATTTTCAAATGTAGTTCTAAGTTGTTTAAAATTACTGTTCTTAACGCTTCCAAGGTTAAAGCGGTTTCTTCAAATTCTTCCTAACATACAATCACATCAATGCAGCAATTAACATTTGAAAAATATAAGTTATCATAATAGCCGGCTTTTTTAATTTTAGCCGGTTTTTATGTGGTTAAAAATAAAAAAATAAAGCGGTTTTTATTTTTGGCTTGACATAAGTTCAGCAATTCTGCTTTTAACAAGCTCTGATTTAACAAGAACCTGGATTTAACGAATAAATTGAAAATATATGGTTGGTACAATGTTAAAACTATTAGAACATACCTCGTTTTTTATAAGCAAACACCGGTTTTAGACTGCAATATTTTTGTGATTCATAAAATTTCTACGAGCTCCATCTCTCCAGCTTAGCTAAATACTTCTTGGAGAAATTCTTTTAACTATTCGAAGACAATTGAAAGTTAATATGAGTCATACATTCAGAAAACATGTGAACTTTTTAAGAAAGCAGGGGTGCAAAGGAAAAAGAAATTATTGCGCGATGAGTTTTGTTTAAAGAGCAATAACATTAAAGAGAAAACAAAACAGTTCAAAACAAATTAACTAATTATTTTCGAACTGTTCTGTAGAATTTTATTTATAATTTAATAAGTATGTATATAATCTTTTGAGATTTTTTTTTCTTCACGAATCCGTTTTTTTACAAGCGCTTGGTTATAGCGAGCAAATATTGCGGTCCCTTTGCGCTCGTTCAAAACAAATTTGATTTATTTGTTATACCTGTTAATAAGTCTTGGTAGACCTCCCTAAACTAGACATGAAATATTACTTAATTAAAAAATTCCCTTGGCTTCAAAAATGTGCAGATGGATAATTGGCGTCCATTCCCAAGACTTGCCTTACGTGAATGAGAAGAAACAAAAGTGAATTGAAATGTAAAACGTAAAGTTGCCAATTAAAAATTAAAAATTATGTGTGATAAACAAAACTAGAAAAACCGCAGTAGCGAAGAGTAAAGCAAAAATAAAAATGAAGAAAAAAAATCAGAATAAGAAAGACTACTGTGACTGAGAGGCGTGAATCAGGATAAAATGAATTTCAACACCCTTTGAAGCGGAGAGGAAGAACTAATGTCTTTAACAAGGGCATTAGCATTTATATGAAGGAAAAAAAAAAAAAGATTCCAGGGCATCAAATAAGATCTGAGATGGATCCCAAGATTCCAACAATGTGCAATTTTGACGATGCTGAAATTATTTCCTCCGCAGTCTTATCAGTTTATCTTGATGTCCTGGAATCTTGTTTCATTCATACGAATGCTGTTTCCCTTGCTAATGACATTAGTTTCTCACCTCCTCTCCATAGCGCGTGGAAATGCATTTTCACTGATTCGTCCCTCTCAACTACAATGGTTTTTCTTATTCTGTATTTCTGTCTTTTTCTTTGTTTCACTCTGGGTTACTACTGTTTTTCTAGTTTTGTTTTTCACCTTTATTTTCCATTTTTCGTTGGCAACTAAAAATGGATCATTCTAATCACTTTTGTTTCTTCTCAATCACGTCTGGCAAGTCGTTCCTATTTTTAAGAGCTTGAAACAGGCCTACTTTTATTTTCATCTGTATATTTTTGAAGCCAATTAAGTTCTTTTAATCAAGCAACATCTTATCACTTCAGTATCTTAGAATTATTTATTTAAATATGGAACTGCCGCCTTTTTCTCTTTTCCGAGTTATACAAAATGCCCTGTCAAAAATTATGCACTATTTTCATATTGAATTATGTTTTTTTCTTAGGTGGACAGAGCAGGATACAAAGGCCAAAGGGTATGCTCTTCTTAGTACTTATTTCATTGCAGTGCCATTATTTTAATTCTTGTGCTATGAGTGAATTCAATTTTGGCTATGAGACTGAAGAATATCTTTCTGCCATAATTAATTTGACTTATGTTGATCCTGCTTCTGGTTTACTTGTGCAAGAACATTTAGAAATGGGAAAATTATTACCTGGAAAAACGGAAGAAGTTAGTGGAACTGTTATTCACGTTACAAGTAACAACCATACCAGCCATGAAGCATGTGATAAATTAGACACCGATAACTTGCCAAAGGAGCCATTCATTGCTTTAATCAAGCATGGAAATTGTCGTGATCAAGTCAAGTTGAAACATGTTGCTGATGAAGATGCGTCTGCTGCTGTGCTGTATAGCGATAGTCACAGTACAAGATTCATTAAAGTTGAACGTAAAGGTAATGTTTTATATTCAATTCAGTTCATAGATTTAAATGAAACATTTATTCAGAGATGCCAACTTGCTCCGGACAGCAAATACATGTTTTAAAGTGGTAGTTTATCAATTGTGATTCTTGGTTTAATAAATTCAATTTAGTAGGTTTTTATCCACCACTATTTCTAAATAATTCGTAGACTTATATGATTCACCACTTTAGAGTATATATGTCATGCTATACATTTTAAAAGCAAGCAAAAATAGTCAAATATTTGCATATATTATTAAATTATTTTGGCCTGTCCGGAGCAGTTGGCATCTCTGTTAATTTCATAGTGAAAGAAGAAGAGGTTTACTTTCGAATTTAAGTTGATTGGTTTTGTTGTTAACCACTTGACATACGAAGACGTCTGGGAGACGTCATTTGTTTCTTATGTCAAAACAATAATTGACGTGTCTCAAGCGTCTTCAACACAGAAATGCCAACTTGCTCCGGACAGCAAAAAAATATGTTGAAGTGGTAGTTTATCAGTTGTGATTCTTGGTTTAATAAATTCAATTTAGTAGATTTTTATCCATCACTATTTCTAAATAATTCGTAGGCTTATATAATTCACCACTTTATAGTAGTTATGTCATGCTATACCTTTTAAAAAGCAAGCAAAAATTGTCAAATATTTGCAAAATTTAGTTTGTAGTTATTTACCGTTATTTAATTATTTTGGCGTGTCCGGAGCAGTGGCATCTCTGTCAACATTCCGTTGCGAATTGTTGTTTTCAGTGCAATCAAAGATCATTTTTATATCAAGAAATGATATGTCAAGGGCTTAAGGTCGTACAAAAGCTTCACTAATGGACTATTGGCGATGGTTTGAAATTCATCTTAATGGTAATATGACGACAGTGTTAACGCATGCGCGCATTACACTACCAGAATTTATTTCCTAGGACAGATATTGGAAATAATCTCTCAGTCTTAGTACCACGCTTTAAAATCGTGCGTGAAATTTTTCGGTTTTTAAACCGTCGGGGAGATTTTTTATAGAGTGAATTCCGAACCAATAAGACACGATCACAGATAGTGCAGTCCAATTAGACACCCGGATTTTAATACGGCAAATCGAACCCCAATCCAATCCTTGAACGAAGACTAAACCCATCACTATTCTCATTGTAGTATACTAAAATAGAACATCAAGTTAATAATAGAATTAATATAAAAAGATTGTCTATCGAAGTTTAAATTTTAGTTCAAAAAAAAAAAAAGAAAAAAAAGTCTGTTTATTCAGAGAAAGTACGTTTTTGTGTCTGATTTCGTAACTTAAGATATCGTCCACATTTATCAATTAGCATATTTGAAGTCACCCCTTCGAACCAATAAGTTTGAGTCCTAGAACGTGAAGATCCAATCATTAGATTTGAAGCTATTTAGGGTGGTCCGCTTTTTATTTTGCACTATGTACAGAGAAAAAGCTTTGAATTTTTTCTGTCTGCTGATTTACCAACCTGTCTAAAATTANATAAAGAAATAAACCTAATTTTTTTGTGTATCAGCTATGCGGATGCACAAGAAACTAATTCTTCCAAGTTCGCACTGGAATTGTTGGAGAATTAAGAAGAGATATTCTAAATGAATTATTTAAAAATTACGCTAAAAGTTTTTAAAACTCTTTTTTTTTTTAATTTGGTCATGAATAAGGCTTTGAACAAATATAGCATGAAATGCTATCGAAAACACATGTTTATATGTTGAAAATAGAAATTTCTCTTTAATTTCCGTTAAAATTATTTGGTAATTTCATGTGACATTTTTGTCGTTGTTTTATTAAGAACTAATTTTTTTAGAAATTGAAATTATTTAAGGACAAATTGTTATGCAAAGAACATGTGTGTAATTAAACAAGAGTATTAATATTTCTCTAAATTTAAAATTTTTTTTTAAGTATCTTGCATATGTATATCTGATGTTTTTTAAAAAAATAATATATATATATATATGTATAAAATTTACTATACATTTATGCATAATACAATAAATTAGTGAGTTTATAGTAAATTCCAACTCACAAAACACAACAAATTCTTGAAAAATTTTATTCCAGATTTTAATAAATCAAATAGTAATAAGCGATTTTTTAAGGGTTTAAAGTGATTTTTTTAAGGGTTTAAGGATGTCTTCTTCCTATTTCCAATTCTAGATGCACTAATTACAAGCAAAAATGTATTTTGGTATTTTTTAATTATAAAAAAACAGACTAGTAGTTAGAAAAAAAAGGTGATAAATTATCTGAATTATATTTGTACTAAAATATCTAATTCAATAAAAGTAGTTAGAAAAAAAAATTTACATTCATATTTTAAAATTCATCGGAGTTTGTAAATTAAATATATTCCAATGTTGATTAAATGTTTCTCTAAGATTTTAATGAACTGTTTCTCTAAATTTGAAAAATTATTGTTAGGAAGATTTTACTTTTGAGCCCAAAAGATAAAGGTGTTTAATGCTATATTTTATAACCATCAGTTATTAAAATGCTAAATATAATGTTTTTCACTTGTTTTGACTTAATTTAATATAAAATAATGAAAAATATAAAAATTCCGCTTCAAAGTGTAAATGATTATCAAATATTATCAAATATATAAAATTTTACATTCATATTTTAAGATTCATCAATAATTGAGTTTGTAAATTAAATAAATCCCAATGTTGATTAAATGTTTCTCTTAGATTTTAATGAATAAATGTTGAATGAATGTTTCTTTAAATTTGAAAAATTATTGTTTGGAAGATTTTACTTTTGAGCTCAAAAGATACCGGTGTTTCATGCTGTATTTTATAACCATCAATTACTAAATTCTAAATATAATATTTTTCACTTGTTTTGACCTAATTCAATATAAAATAATAAAAAATATAAAAATTCTGCTTCAAAGTGTTAATGATTATCAAATATTATCAAATATATAAAATTTTACATTCATATTTTAAAATTCATCAATAATTGAGTTTGTAAATCAAATAAATTCCAATGTTGATTAAATGTTTCTCTTAGATTTTAATGAATAAATGTTAAATGAATGTTTCTCTAAATTTGAAAAATTATTTTTTGGAAGATTTTACTTTTATGCAGAAAAGATACCAATGTTTCATGCTGTATTTTATAACCATCAATTATTAAAATGTTTAATATAATATTTTTCACTTGTTTTGACTTAATTTAATATAAAATAATGAAAAATATAAAAATTCTGCTTCAAAGTGTTAATGATTACCAAATATATAAAATTTTACATTCATATTTTAAAATTCATCAATAATTGAGTTTGTAAATTAAATAAATCCCAATGTTGATTAAATATTTCTCTTAGATTTTAATGAATAAATGTTGAATGAATGTTTCTCTAAATTTGAAAAATTATTGTTTGGAAGATTTTACTTTTGAGCCCAAAAGATACCGGTGTTGAATGCTGTATTTTATAACCATCAATTACTAAAATGCTAAGTATAATATTTTTCACTTGTGTTGACCTAATTTAATATAAAATAACGAAAACTATTAAAATTCTGTGTCAAAGATTGTCAAATATTCGGGTTTGGTATTTATTTTGCTTATTTATTTGAAAGACTCTTGATTCCCATCTCTATTTTCACAACCTGTCACTAAAAAACAATTTAACTTGAATTAGGTCAAAGAATCCTTTCATATATAATTTAATTTGTCTTGAAGACTTACAATTTCTTTTCGCATACCATTTGTCTTCGCAATCGATGCTATTAAGTTGTTTGTCTAGGTTCAAATAGGCATTGTCTAGTAAATGAAATTAAGGGAAATAAATTTCTTGTTCAGTGACTGATAATTCTGTTTAATATTTTTCAAATTAATTGCTAGCGTTTATAAGTCGATTATACTCCATAAAAGGCCAGATTTCGAAAACTAATTATAGTGTCAATATCTTTGATGTCATTTTCACTTTGCTCTTAGATTTAATTAAGGACACTTTTCAGAAGTTGGGATTAAAAAATAAGCGAATACTTTTAAAATCCTTGAAAAATTATTTTAAGGGTGGATATTTTATTACAAACATTTTTGTTGAAGCATGATAAAATAGTTTAGAATACTTCAAAAATAATTTTAAGTAGCGATAGTTTATTGCAGATATATTTCTTGGAAACGTAAGGAAGAACATTAAAATATTTGAAAAATTATTTTAAGGATGGATATTGTATTGTAACAATTTTTATTGAAACATTAGAAAATATTTTAAAATAGTGGAAGACTTATTTTTTAAGGAGGAATATTTTATATTAAAATTTTTTATTAAAACACAAGAAAGTACTTTAAAATATCTGAGAAGTTATTTTAAGGATGGATATTTTATGGCAAATTTTTTTATTAAAACATAAGAAAATACTTTCAAATACTTTTTATTTTAAGTATGGATATTTTATTGCAAAAATCTTTATTAAAAGATAAGAAAATGCAGGGTGCGTAGCGTTTTTAAAAAGTGCTTTAAATGTGCTTATTTTTCATTAACGTTTTTTAAAAGCCCTTAAAGGTGCTTTTTTTTTATTCGGTGTTTGTAAAAAGTGCTTAATTTTCTATCTTTTAAAAAGAGATCTTTTTTTTGCCGTATCGATTTTTGTTCTAAATTACAAAAAATGCATGATCTTCACATTTTTTTCTGCAATATTTATCAGAAACTAGTTATTTTATCATGATTATGTAAAGTTTTTTAAAATGTTTCTAAATTTTATTGATTTTATGATTATAAATTAAGAGCTTTAAACGATAGAAAAAATTTTTTTTTATTACTGCACTGATCGTAATTATGATTTTTTTTTTCGGAAAATGATTAAAAATATTTTTTGAGTGCTTAAAAAGTACTTGAAAGATGCTTATTTTTTGTAGAAAAATTTGTCTACGCACCCTGAAATGCTTTAAAATACTTGAGAAAATATTTTAATTATTGTATCACAAAAGTTTATTAAAACATAAGAAAATACTTTAAAATATT